CTCCACTAACACAACTCAAAGGCATCCATTTTTCTGTCATCGTTAGTCATTGCCCAGCTCTACTTTTCATTATATTCTCAAAATAAAAAAGAGTGCTGAACAAATGTTGAACGCTAGTTAAGAATATGTATTCTAAAATATTTTATGTAAGGCTTAATGGACTCATACCTGACCCTCCAGCAGGTTTCAGAAGTGAGAAATTACACAGGAGGAAATTGCCCATCTTTCTCCTTTAAAACGCTGGTGAATTCAAACTGCTTGCTTTTGAGTTGGCAGTGCAATTGTTTACTAACTAAGCCACCAGAATTAGGAAGAAATATCTAAAAAATGCTTTGGAATATACTCCCAAAATAAGATGAATTAATGGAGAGATACCTAGAGGATCTTGTGCCAAACTAGGGGTAATCAAAGTAAAAGGCGGAATCTAGATGCTGAGCATATGAATGAAAGTTCACTGCAATTCCTTCGTGTGTGTGTGTGTGTGTGTGTGTGAAATTTCTCATAATTAAATGTTGGGGAAAGTTTCATGCCACTTTTTTTATTTCAACCTTAATGTCTAGCTTCATACTAATGTGTGTTTTTTTTTGGTTTGTGTCAAATTCTTCTTTGTTTTAACTTGACGCATTTTAAATTACTTTTCCCCATATACTTTCAGAGAGAAAGAACACGTTAGGTAGTTCAGGCATTAAATCAGCCAAACAGAGAGAGTCTCCTTGAAAAGATCTATCCGCCTGCAGTGTGGATATTAGAGGTGGACACACTTGACTAATTAAGCTAATCCTGGGAAATCAATAAGATGCCATCTAATTAAATTACAAATCTTACCTTTGCGTGTGCATGTCTATGTGTAAGACGTGACTGAGAAGAGAATCCCAAAATAAATCTCAAAGCATCAGGGCAGAAAACGTCCAATTAACATAACTCACTATTTAAGGTCTTTAAAAAAATAAATCCAGACGACCTTTCTAGACTAATCCTTCAGATTTGGAAAATCATGGCAGAATTTTTCATTCCCTTTGTTGGTTTTTAAAATCTCTACAAGTAAGAAAAGGAGAAGGAATAATCCCTATGGCTTTTTCTGTTGACATTCAATGACAAGACTACAGGGTTCTGCCAGGGATACTAATGCAAGCACCTAAATAGTCAGCTGTGTGGAGAGAGAATCTAACCCCATTCCACTCTCAGACAGAATTAGACTCAGTACATTTCCTTAATTTCAAGTGACTCATGGTCTCAGAACTTATGATCAAAAGAAAACAGATAAGGTGAAAGTATATAAAATTATATATTGGGATTTGAAAAGTTAAAAGTGCAATCTATAAGATGAATTCAGTACTTCATGCTATTCTCAAGTTTACTTGAACATTAAGCTCACTATAATATCAGTAAGTGCAAGAAAGTCTGTTTTTTAAAAAACTACAAAAAGATAATGTTTTTATTCTCTTGGCACCATGTTTTCCAAGCCTATAATTATTTTGTTGTTATTACTGTAAGCACAGTGGGAGAAAAACGGTAGAGAACACACACAAAAAAACCCCTATGTATGTCCTTCAAAAGACACGAAATTTCAAAATAAGTGATTTCCTGTTAAATCTGTTTGTTTCCTCCTCTGGAAACCCCAACGGCTTATTTGTTACATCTGAAAATATATTTTTACAAAAAGAGAAAAAGACTAACTTGTTCAGCAATTGATGCACAATTACTTAAAATATTGCTGCTATATATGTTGCACTCAGATAAGAAACAGCATACTGACTGCAGCAGGATTTTGTAAAAGATGCTACATACTTTTACTCATTTTGGACAGTGAAATAACGAATGGGGACTCACTATATTTAAAAGCCTCTTTGAAAGGACCCACCCCAAAGAAGTTAAAACAATGTCGAAAGGGATTCACAAACTAGAAGGACTCTGACTTCCTTATTTTAAAACACACCTGTGGTAATCAAAATAGCCTAGTACTGAATAAACACTGAAAGATATACAGACCGATGGAACAGAACCATGAGTCCAGAAGTACACCTCCTCATCTATTGTCAACTAATATTTCATAAGAAATGTTAAGTCCCTTGGATGGGGAAAGACTCTCCCGAAAACACACAAATCTCAAAAGACAAAATAAATGCATGAGACCTCATAAAAATTTCACTTCTATTTATCAAAAGATTTCACTCAGAAAAAGTGAAAAGAAAAGCTACCAACTGGGAGGCTATCATAATTCATTGCCATCAAGCATTACAATCCATAGTAACACTCCATCTAGTTTCTGAGGCTGAAACCTTAAGAGAAGTAGTCTTCCCATCTTTCTCAAGCAGAGCAGCTGGTGCATTCTACGCGCTCATTTCATTTAGCAGTCCAAGATTTAATGCAGTATGCCAGGAAACCATATACCCAAGAATTTAAGAGCCCAAATACATATAAACTGAAACCTTAGCAACAAAAGCCAATTAACTCAGTCATAAAGTGGACAAAAGACTTGAAAACCCATTTCACCCATGATAACAAAGACTAAAATTATGCCAATTCATATCACATTCTCTTCTGTTGCCCTGGATCCTTGAGCCCCTTCATGTCTGGACTATAACTATCTCAGCCTCTCAACTTGCAATTGCTCAAATCCAAGTTCAAAGTCTATTGAATATATTTCTAAGTATGTTTGGTTTTCTTCAATGTTAATATCTACATAAATTACCTGCTACACCTGAAAGTAATTTCCCTATTAAGATGGAGTTCAATACTTTTCTGTCTCTGCCGTGTATTCATGTTCAGTAATGTAATAGGATGTGGTGAGAAAAGACAAAGAGCAATATTTACCTGCTTTGTTTTCCATTACAGGAATAATTGGATGTGAGCTGTTAAAGGGTCGCCTGTATGCACAAATATCTTTGATCTCTGTAATATACCCCACGGATCACTAGCATAATAGCCTTAATATGATCTCAAATTCTTTCGGCTCCCATTAAACTGTAGATTTACATTTCCTTTCTCTTCAATCTGGGCTTGCCTTCATGACTAATGGAAAACTGACAAATAGGATATGGTAACAGGTTAAAATATTATTAAATTCCAAGGTTATAGGAAGTCTTGAAGCCAAGTCCAAGCAGCTCTGGGGGAAATCGGGTGCCATGGTAAAAAGTCCATCTACCCTGACACTACCATGATAGGAGAAAGCCCAAGTTAATCACGTGGAGATTGCATTAAAAGAAAAGGATACCAATCCAGCCCCTACATCAAGCTTATCAGCTCAGACTTGGACATGTGAGGAAGACACTTTTTTGGGGAAATAATGTGAAGAAGAAAAGAGAAATTCAACTATCATGCATAGAATTGTGTCCTGCTACAGTACGTATTAAGGAGTTCTGGTGACTTAATGATAAAGAGTTGCTCTGCCAACTAACTCAAAGGCATGCAGTTCTAACACATCAACAGTTGTATGGGAGAAATATGGGCAATCTCCTCCTTTGACAGAGAGTCAGCTAAGAGTTGATTCCAATTCCATAGTACATATCAACAACAAAGTATGTAGATGAAATGATACATGTGAAAGCTATGTAACAATCCCTCATGATCTATTAAACCGAATTAGAAGGATAAGGGTGGAAGATCAAAGGCGTTCAATATTATTGCATCTAATATCAATAAGACAAAAATTTTCACTACTGGACCCACACGCACCATCATAATAGATGGAAAAAAGATTGCACTTGTCATGACTTCATCTTACTTGGGTCCACAATCAACACCCTTGATACCAGCAGTCAGAAGATCAAGAAATGTATTGCACTGGACATGTCTGCTGTCAGGAATTAGGAACAATGATGTCACTTTGAAAATGTGCCTAATTGAGGCCATGCTCTTTTCAATTGCTTGATATGTATCTCAAAATTGGACAATGATTAAGTATCTATACATGTGAGCTGTGGTGCTGTGGTGTTGGACCCGAGTACCAAATATCCCGTGGACTGACAAAAGAACAAACAGATATGTCTTGGAGAAAGTGCAGCCAGAGTGCTCCTAGGAGGCAAAGATGACAACGCTTCATCTCTCATACAGTGGGCATGTTACTAGGAGAACCTATTCCTTGGAGGGCGACATTGTGCTTGGAAAGGTGGAGGGTTAGCAAAAGAGAGAAACACCTTCAACAAGACCAATAGAGACACAGTGACTGCAGCAATGGACTCAAGTGTATCAGCCTTGAGGATGGCATGGGATAGCATAAAGTTGAGGTCTATTGTTCACTATAAGTTGTACTCAACAGCACCTAACAACAACAACAAACTAAAAGAGAATAAATCTCTGGTTGTTAAAGCCAACTACTTGTGGTATGTCAATTATAACAGACCTAGATAACTACAATGGGTGCCCTGGTGGGCTAGAGGGTAAGAAGTTGCACTGTCAACTCAAAGGCAATACAGTTTCAATCCACCAGCCACTTTGCAGGAGAAAGATGGAAGGTCTCCTTCTGGTGATTTACAGCCTCTGAAAACGCCCTGGAGGGTCAGAGATGAGTCAGTTCTGACTCAATAGCAATGAGAAACTGAGTAAGTGAGAGATAAGAATACCAGTCAATGGCTAGAATCAATGCTCTGGATGCTTGGCCCCATTCGATCCTGCTAGTTATCTGACCATTCAGTGACTCCAGGTGAGGATCCTATCATTGTGAGACACCACTGAGCCATCTCTGCTGGGGTATGTACGTATTCCTGACTCGGGAAATTATAAGCCTTAGAAAATGGTTGTTTCTACCCAAAAGGTATGGGATGATTTATTTATAGCAAGTGATAAATAGAAAAGCTAGTTAACAAACCCCCTTACTTTAGAATTTAATTATTTCACAATAATTGTGAAGAATATTTTTATCAGCAAACATGATATTTGTCAATACTGTCTGTAAGTGTTAAGAAAACATTTGTTGTGATTTAGTAGTAATTTGTGCTCCAAAGCAAAATGGTATTTCAGTGTTGTAATAAAAAGAAAATGCCTATCTTCTCTTTTCACAGATATCTGAGATGCTTTTATTGGGCAGTTCGATCTTTAATTACCATTGGAGGTCTTCCAGAACCACAAACCACATTTGAAATTGTTTTTCAACTCTTGAATTTCTTTTTGGGAGTTTTTGTGTTCTCCAGCTTGATTGGTCAGGTAAATTGAAATATGAATCATTAGATATTCAATACTATGATTTTTAGAACGCTAACTAGTCTTTATAAATCTTATGAAGGGAAAATAAAAATATTTATGATTCTTACTAACTTGAATCTATTTTAATGAATTGAGAAATATGATTGAGTCAACATTACCTTTCAATTTTTAAAATATTAAGTCTATCAGAAGATGCAGAAAAACATTTAACACCTAAAGGAATATTATATATTCCCTCTCAATCCATCTAAAAGGGTGGTATACACTCCCTCTCACTCTATTTCATATTTTTTTAATTCCAGAAATGTGGCACCTCTAGCTAGAATTTAGTAATGGAATGGTGAGAAAGATTGTGAAGGAAACACTATTTAAAACATTTTTATTTGGGAGATGAATATTACATAGCTAAAACTTGTCTAAAACTAGAAAGCTGGTCTGGAAAGAATTTCAATTCCATTTAATTAACTGTATTGTTGGATTAGTGGTTTAGAAAGAATTTTAATTCATATCAATTAAATGTGCATAACAGACATCATTTTTTTTCCCTTAAAATCATTGGGAAGTAGCCACATCACATTTAATATTTCATTCACTGAGAGTATTCTGGTTTAAAAAAAAAATTAAGAGGCATATGTCAATCCACATTTCACACTATACACAAAAATGACCTCAAGGTGGATAAGAGACTTGGGAGTAAAGCCCAAAGCCATAAGGTTCTTAAGAGACAAACTGGGATCAAGCTTAGGAACTCTTATCTATGGTATAAAGAGACTGCCAAATACAGCCAGAAATGCACAATCTGAAGAGGATAAAATTGATGAATGGGACCTTCTAAAGAATAAATTCATGTGTGCATCAAAAACTTTTTCCAACATTATGAAAAGAAAACCTACTGACTGGGAACAAACATTTGGCAATACTATTTCAGACAAGAGTCTCATAATGAAAGTTTATAGACTACTCCTGGGCCTCCAGAAGGAAACAGTCTGGTAACCCAATTACAAAATGGACAAAAGGCATGGAAAGAATCTTTACAGAGGAAGATATTCAAAAGGCCAACAGACATATGAAGAAATGCTCCAAATCACTGGCAATAAGAGAGATGCAAATCAAAACCACAATGAGATACCATCTCACTCCAGTAGCAGTGACAAAGTTTAACAGAAAAACAGGTAATAAATGTTGAAGAGGATGTGGTGCGTGAGATAGGAACACTTTTACACTGTTGGTGGGATTGTAAAATGGTACAACTACTCTGGAAGGCAGTTTGGCATTTTTTCAAAAAGCTGAACATGGAAATTCCATATGACCCAGCTATTCGATTGCTTGGAATATACCCCTAGAAATTGAAAACTAAGGCTCAAAAAGAAAATTGTACACCAGTGTTCATAGCAGCATTATTCATCATCTCAAGAACATGGAAACAGCCAGATGTCCAGCCACAAATGAATGGATTGAGAAGTTGTGGTACATTCATACAATGAAATACTATGCAGCATGCAGGAGCAATCATTTTGTAAATTACCATCTAATTTGAGAGGAACTGGAGAGCATTATGCTGAGTGACCTAACTCTGTCCCACAAGGATAAATACTGTATAAAACCATTATGGTAGAATAAGTATGAGGAGCCAAGGTGGTGGGGGGAGGGTGGAAATAAAGGTGTGAGGATGGGGGGTAGGGTGTTAATCATAGGGTTGCACAATTTGATGGGTGGGGAGGTGAAGGAAATGGGAAGGATTTTTGGTGAAAAACAATGTATTCAAACTATGTAAATAAATCAGTTGTTGTTGTTTGTTGTTATGTGCCATCGAGTCATAGATGACTCATAGTGACCCTACGAATGAAAGACCTGAACACTTATATAACTTTCATCATTTCTCCAAGTTCTTAGGGTTTCCAGAGGCAAGCTATTCCGGAAGTAGATGCCATTCCTGCTTCCAAGCTTGTTTTAATTGGGGAGCTCCGTCAAACACTGTCCATCATGGGTAACCATTATCACATTTGACACATCAGTGTAACAGTGTTCAGCTTCACAGCAACCATGAGTGACCTCTGTACAGCAAATGGACAGACCAGTGCTATAACACTTAGAAGAATATTTGACGAAAACCAATTAAAACCAAGCCTGAGGGCCAAAGATTAAAATCACCCATCTTTAGCTTGGTTGTATCACTTTCAGGTCAACTGAGCTCTCTTGTTGTTGTTGTTATTGTTGTAGTTGTTGTTGTTGTTGTTAAGTGCCATCAAGTCATAGATGATTCATAGTGACCCTATGACCCTGGGAGCATTCTGTGGCTTCCTCCAGTTCCAACGAGATTTCAAAACCAACGCATGGTGGAGAGGGGTAGTGAAAAGAGGAAGACCTTCAACCAGGTGGCTTGACATGGTGACTGCAGCAATAGGCTTGAGTGTGTCAGAGATTGTTGAGGATGGCACGAGATAAGACAGTGTTGAGATTGATCGTTCAGAGAGTTGGCATCAGGATTGGTGGAAGATCTATTAACATTCTACGTTATGTAGATGACACAACCCTGCTTGCTGAAACTGAGGAGGACTTGAAATGCTTGCTGCAGAGGGTCAAGGACTGCAGCCTTCAGTATGGATTGAACCTCAATGTCAAGAAGACAAAGATTCTCACCACTGGACCAATTGGCAGCATCAGGATGGATGGTGAAGAGATTGAGATTGTTGTTACTTTAGTCTGCTTGGCTCCACGGTCAACACTCTTGGCACCAGTAGCCAGGAAATAAAGAAATGTATTGCGATGGGAAAGTCTACTGTAGGGACCTCTCCAGGGTACTGAAGAGCAATGGTGTCTCTCTGGAGACTAAGGTGCATCTGATACAGGCCATGGCCTTTGCAATCACATGTTATGTGTCAGAGAGTTGGACAATGACTAGGGAGGACAGAAGGAGAATTGATGCCTTTGAGCTTTGGTGTTGGAAAAGGGTATTAACGGTACCATGAACTGCCAAGAAAACAAACAGATTCATTCTTGAGAGGGTTAAACTGAGCTGCTCCTTGGAGGCAAGGATTCTGAGGCTTCATCTGACATACTTTGGTCATGTTGTAAGGAGAGACCGGTCCTTGGAGAAGGACATCATGCTTGGTAGGTGGAGGGACAGCACAGGAGGGGTAGGCCCTCTAAGAGATGGATTGATTCAGTGACTGGGGTAATCGGGATGAGTGTCTCAGAGACAATGAGATTGCACAGGACAGAATAGAGTCTGGGCTGTTGTACATAGGGTCGCTATGAGGTGCAAGCGACTCGACAGCACATAACAACAACAACCACCTATATAGCACTTAACAATAACCTCGATCTCCAGTAGAGCTAATTCAGGGCAAGGGAACCCCATCCATCATTCAGCTGATCCTTGTGAGAAAATGGGTGGGAAGGAGAAGTCACACTTTTCCCTTTCACTGACATAATCAGCTGATGGTGCCTTCTTGCTACAATTCTGGGTCTATACAGGATTACCAAGTTCTTGCTATGGGGTGAATCAAAGTGGGTGCCCAGTGCTGGGCTTCTTCACTGTTAACTTCATCATCTGTCTCTTTCATTTGCATCTTTGCTCAATATATATATAAAATATATATTTTTTAATGGCATCTGTCATTTATACAGTCAGTAAATGATAGATCCTTGTCTTGGATCTGTCATTTACTAACTATATAAGACTTTAGAAGAGGCCATAGTACTAGAGACAGTATCATTAATATCAGATGGATCTTGGCCAAAGCGAAGAGTGCCAGAGGAATGTCTATCCGTGTTCATGGACTATGCAAAGGCATTTGATTGTGCGGATCACAATAAATTGTGGCTAACCTCGAGAAGAACAGAAATCCCAGAACACTTGATTGTACTCATGTGAAACCTATATTTCAACCAGAAAACAGTCTCAGAACAGTGCAATGAAACAGTGCATGGTTCAAAGTCAGGAAAAGAGTGTGTCAGGGATGCATCCTGTCTCCATACCTTATTAATCTGTATGCAGAACAGATCATTCGGGAGGCTGGACTTTATGAAGATAAATGTGGCATCAGGATTGGAGGAAGACTTATCAACAATTTGCATTATGTAGATGATACAACTTTAGTTGCTAAAACAGAGGAGGACTCAAAGTTCTTTGCTTCAGAAGGTCAAGGATTATAGTCTTCAATATGGATTGAAACTTCACATCAAGAAAACAAAGATTCCTACCATTGGGCCAACTGGTAAATTGTGCCACAATAAATGAAAAAAAAAGTTGAGATTGTCAAGAATTTCACCTTGTTTGTCTCTACAATCAGCACTCTTGGCACCAGCAGTCAGGAAATCAAAAGACTAATTGCATGGAGGAAGTTTGGTATCAGGGACCTTTCCAAAGTGCTAAAGAGTAATGATGCCAGTCTAGGGACTAAGATGTGCCTGATCCAGGCCATGATTTTCACAATTACTTGCTATGCCTCAGAGAGCTAGAAATGACTAAGGATGACAGAAGAATATCGATGCCTTTGAGTTGTGGTGCTGGAGAAGAGTATTGAACATACCATGGACCGCCAAGAGAACAAGTTAGTCTGTCTTAGGGTAAAACCAAGTTTCTCCTTGGAGACAAGGATTTTGAAGCTCCATCTCACATAATCTGGGCATGTAGTCAGAAGGACATAATGCTTGGAAGGGTGGAGGGACAGCACAGGAGAGGAAGACCCCAGATGAGATGGATTGACACAGTAACTGGATATTTAGGGTAGGTGTGTCTGAGTCAATGAGACTGGCTCAGGGTAGGGCAGGGATCAGAGCTATTGTACATAGGGTCGTAATGAGTCACAGGTGACTCGATAGCACATGACAACAAAAAGAATTAAGAGATCCCTAAATAATAGTACTAAAAATAATCGTAACATCTCACATTTATTGAACCCTTACTCTGTTAAACCTTTACCTTACCCAGGGTAAATTTTATAGATAAGACGGAGAGGGAAATAATAAACATTTATATCAGTTCCACTCTATTATTGTCACTCAAAGCAATCTTTGGACTCAGCAGCATCAGCATCACTTTGAGAATGTAGTATTCAGCCTTAACCCGTTCTTCCTAAGCTAGACCTCACATGTTAGCAAGATGTGTTATATTGCTCAAATCTGCTGTTGAGGACCTCTTTAAAGTGCCAAAGCACTGGTACAACCACTCTGGAAGGCAATTTGGTATTTTCTCTAAAAACTGGACATAGAAATTTCATATGACTCAGATATTCCACGGCTAGGAACATACCCCAAAGAAAATAGAACTGAGATGTGAATGGAGATATGTACATCTATTTCAATGTTATTCAAAATAGCAAGAAATAGAAACAGCCAAAATGCTAAAAAAAAAGTGCCAAAACATAAAGATATCACTTTTATGACTAAGGTGCACCTGATCCAAGCTTGGGTAGTTTCTTTTTTTTTTTTTTATTTTTTTTGGGGGGTAGTTTCAATTGCTTCATATGCATGTCAAAGTTGGACAATGAATAAGGAAAACATAAACAGAATTTACATCTTTCAAATGTGGTGTTGGTGAAGACTCACAAATATAAAAGAGGGACTGCCAAAAGAACAAAAAAATATAGTCTTTCTTGGAGAAAGTGAAATTATGGTGCTCCTTATAGACAAGGATTGAGAAATTTCGTTTCACCTACTTCAGGCATGTTGTCAGAAGAAGTGAATCTTTGAAAAAGACATGCTAGCAAGAATAGAAGGTCAGTAAAAAAGAGGAAGATTCTCAACAAGATAGTTTGAAAACTTGGTACTGAGCACAGAAAAAAAAGGAAGAGGCTGGAGATAAAGGCTTATGCCTTTCAGTCATAGTGAATGAAACATATTGAGGGAAAAAATATGGAAAGAAAAGTGCATTGTTAGCCTAAAGTTGGATTTTACTTTTTTTATCCTTTACCTTAGCCCCTTCTGGTCTCCAGCTACCTTAGCTGCGGGCTCATTATCTTGCAAAACATCAACAGCTGTGGGAATAGGATAAGAGAGAGAGAGAGAGAGAGACAGCTTCCCTCAGTAAGGGGTAAGACCCTGTTGAAAGTGAGACTTTGGTTATGGTGGTGGAGAGAGTATGCCATTGCTGTGTAGAAACACAGCAATGTATCAATTTATTTCCCTAAAACACCCCATTCTCAGAACCACAACTCTGAGTAAAGTCTGTGAGTCAATAATGAATAAAAGAATTTCTTGCTGCTGGTGAAGCTCCAGAGGCACCATTGGGCTAGGTTATGGGCTCTTTATCTGCTTTCTGGTCTGTGGAATTGAGGCGCTGTGCTAATCTCACTCCCTCTGCCCCTTTTTGGAAAGACACTTATGCCCCTGTGGCTTCATGCTCCATTTTCTGTCTCTAGACAAAAAGTAAAAAGGCCTGCAACAAAAGTTTCCTTTATTCAAAATTGCTAAGTACAACAACATTCTGGACCTGTAATCATATTAAACTATAATCTCTTCTCTAACAGAGACTCATTTCTTCTCCTCATATCCTCCCAATGCTTATTATTTTCCTTGTTTTCTAACTTAACATTCTATTGAAGCTCTTAACCTGACTCCTAATATTCTAAGTCTCACAACTTTAAGATCCTTACTACTGTAGGAAATTTGGAAAAGAAAGATCTATGCATGGAGTTTGTTGAAGAATATTTGGAAAAGTCACTCAGGCATAGAGACTTAAAGATATATCTCATTTGGCTATTTAAATAACTCCTTCTTAGCAGATACTTTCAATGATTAGAAGATTCCTTTACTTCTGAAACTAGAAACTGAGGGAAGCATCACAAAGAAAGAGCGATTTGATCTGGAATCCCAAGAATGAGTAGTTCCCATAAGCAAAAAGATCTTAGAGATGAGAATGAATGAGCACAGTCCTGAGAATGTGAAAGTGAAGCCCTTGTTTCCCTCCCTATTATAAACTCACAGTCAAGGCAAATTTATAACCACTTGCTTCCCTCTCTGTGAGAGGAAGAGTTGAGCTATATATCTTTTTTGTGCTGAGACCTTAAAGATCAGCTTTTAACCTAGAGTGGGTTTTTATGGCTGAGTTATAAACATCCAAGAACTAAAACTTGACAGTTCCTTAAGTATTGTCACAGCAGTAGATGATGCTTCAGTAATTTCAGCGCATTTCAACTTCTGCTGAATACTATGCCTTAGCACGATGAGATTTGATTTGATCTGTCTAAACAACACAAAGGGAAGTACAGAGGTTGCAATTTCATGATGAATTGAGTCTATATAGTCAGCCACACCGGATAATCTATGAAGGATGCTGTCTAAGTGAGAATTGCCAAAAGGGACTATCCAATTTCCCAAGCAATTGCTCAACTCTCACTGCTCCCTCCTTGCATAAGCACAAGCTGGATGATTTTTTTTTTTAATTATCAATGTAGATTTTGTGCAGTAATACACAAGCTGACAAAGATGATTCATGTACAGTGTGTGAATGAATCTTCACAATAACTTCACATCATAGAAAAAGGAAGTCTTATTCTCATTCTTTCTGAGACAAAGAGAGGGTATGATTTTCCTTATATTTTGAAAGCAAGGGTACAATTAGAACCCAGTATCAATGTATTTATGAGCAAATAGTCAGTGCATTAGGAGATAATTAATAGATGAGCACAGTTAAGTACAACCAAACTCTTAAAAACTATTTTATCATTTATTCCACTGCTGGATGTGGACCAACAGATCATATTTGTGGTTGCAGATGAGAGATGTAATTGGAGCCGCCACAGCCAATCAGAACCACTTCCGTGCCTGCATGGATGAGACCATTGCCTACATGAACACTTACTCCATTATCAAAAGTGTACAGACCCGGGTTCGGACTTGGTATGATTATACATGGGACTCTCAAAGGATGCTAGGTAGGCATTAAATGACTTAGTACCTTCAAACCACATAGCATAATCAAAATTGTAAATGATTGAATTAGAAATTGGTTGGATTTCAACAAATTACATGAAAAATAATTAGATGGTCTTTATTTCTTAATATCTTAATATAAAATATCTAGCTATCTAATGCTAGTTAAGCAAACCTCAGAGAGGTAAAGGCTATATTTTATTTAACACCTACTAGATGTCAGGTATTACATGTGCAATTTCACATAAAAGTCATGAAGAAAATTAAGGAAAAGGAAAATAATCAGATAAATTAAATGTTATCAGCCTCTTTGTAGAAAAAAAGGATATGGAGTTCCTTGATTGAAAAATAAGACCAAGGAGATGCAGTCTTAATATAGAACTGCAGTGCAGCTCAGGTCTCCAGTGTGTTCTCCAAAACCTTGCTCTTTCTGTAACACCACACCCATCTGGGAACATAGTACTCAGAAAGAACAGCAGTTTTCAAGCTGCTTTCATCATGCTGCAGAACGCCCAATGGCTTCTAAGACACCCTGGAGAATAAATGTTGTTATTGTTGTTGTGTGTTTTGGAGTCAGAACTGCCTTGGGGTTTGTAGCACAGCTTCTTATGATTAGGCCTCCAGAGTTCCCTGAAGAATTAAAGGGGTCTTTTCTTTTTGCTGTAGTGCATTACATACTGGGATGCTAACTGAAACAGTTGGGATTCAAATCCACCAGTTGCTCCAAAGGAGAAAGATACAGTCCTGTATTGTTAAGATTTGCAGCCTCAGAAACCCAATGGAGAGTCATCATGAGTCAGACTTACCTAAAAGCAATGACATTTGGGTTTTATATTTGTTGAGGGAGACCTAGTGGTATAGTGTAGTTAAAACACTCAGCTATTAATCTCAATGTCTGTGGTTCGAACCCAGCCTCTCCTCAGAAGAAAGTTGAGTCAGTCTACTTCGGTAAAGATTTCCAGCCTTGGAAACCATATGGGACAATTCTATATTGTCTTGTAGGATCACTATAACTCAAGATTGACTGGAAGGCTGTGGGTTTTAAGGGAGTATTATTTCTTTATCAATAAGCCCTGGTGGTAAAATGGTTAAGTGTTTGACTGCTTACCAAACAAATAATGAATGTTTCTAACCCACTAGATTCTCTGAGATCAGCTGTCAGTCTGCTTCTGCAAAGAGTGGTAGTTGTTAGGTGCCACTGATCAAGTCATCCTCATAGCAACCCTATGAACAGCAGATGGAAACCTTGCACAGTTCTGCTCCATCCTCATGAGCTCTGCCCTATTTCATTAAGCCCATTGTTGCAGTCACTGTATCAACCTATCCCATGAAGGATGTGTCCTCTCTTGCTGACCTTCTACTTTTCCAAGCATAATGTCCTTTTCCAAGAACTGTTCCTTCCTGACAACATGCCCAAAGTTAGTGTGATAAAGTCCACCTTCTTGACCTCCAAGGAGCACTCTGGTTGCAGCTCTGGGAAATTTATGGAGCAATTCTACTCTGTTCTATAGTAACTAGGTTTGAAGCTGAAGCATCATCCACTTCCTAAACATCTTTCCAGAAACTCTATGAACTTTGATAAATGTCGATAGTTGTAGAGGGGCTTCAGGCCTTTTGTTCATATGGTCACTTTGAGTTGTGCTCGACTCAAAGCCAATCAACAAGAACAACATAGTCACTAGGAGAGTCAACTCCACCACAATGGATTTGGTTCTGGTTATTGTTATCATTGTTTGTTGCTGATGGTGTTGTATGCTATTGAGTATATTGTGATTCGTAGTGATGCTGTAGGACAGAATAGAACTACTCCATAGAATTCTCTACACTGAAAACTTTGTGTAGTGTCTAGTGCATTCAAACTACTGACTTTGGGTTTGTACCTCAGCTTAAGCATTATTGTTATGTAACGTCAAATCAGGGTTGACTCATAACTGACCCTCCACTGAGTTTTCAGAGTAAATCACACAGGAAGAGATTGCCATCTTTCTCCCGTGGAGCAGAAGGTGTGTTTGGGTTGATAGTGCAACTCCTTATCGCTAGGCTGTCAGAATCCCCTTGTCTATTACTAAGATGGTATTAAAGTTAAAAATTATTAAAGGATTTAACTTAAGTTATAATTTGACAGTATAGGCAAGAAGCAAATTTAACCTTTAGTTTATTCCTTACCTTATAAAAATAGAAATCTGTGTCACTGAAAACCTAAAAGCTATTACCTCCAAAATGAAGGTTATACTTTTCAGATAGCAAAGGTCCCTAAGAGCAAAAATAAATTATCAGTTGTTTAGAGTAAGATATTTTCCTCATCTTTATTCCACTCTTGAGTTATCTCTGCCCCCAGGTTCTGATCTCTGCCTAAATTCAGAATGATGAAATCCTCATGCCTTTAGCTTGAATTCTTAAAGCTGTTCCAGAAGCTTTTCCAACAAGGAGTGGAAACACCGTAAGGAGCAATGGCAGCCTCCTTCCCCTGAACAGCAGTACACACTGCTCTAAACCCTTAGTTTAAGGTGATAACTAAAGACCCAGTAGGAAGAAACTGTGCTGCACTCCCTATGGCTTGCGGTTGGAATCCACCATCTGCTAGGCGGGAAAAGGATGGGCAGTCTCCTCCCATGTGATTAACTATTTCTGAAAACCTGTCAGAGGGTCGCCTATGGGTTGGGTCTGACTCAACAGTACACAACAACAACAGAGACTAAAAGCCTTTGGAAACAATGAACTGAGATGCTTTACAGACACCTTTTTTATCTTTAGAATCAGTATGGACATGAATAGAAGGGTATGATATCACAAATTTTTACAAATATAAAACAAGTATCAAAAATAAGCAATTCTCAGAAGCACGGGGCATGTTAAGTATTCAGAACACGCAGTTCTGCTTATGAAATGTGATTAACCTGCCAGACTATCATTTTATTTGAATTCACATACAGGAAAATCTTTAAAGTTTTCCTATTGATCATTGCACTTATAATAAGCGAGTAAATAGCAATAATTAGAATTTACTCACTTAGCACATTTTTCTTTGCATTCCATTTCCAGCCGAGTTACCTACTTACTAAGCACAATTATATACACCAAAGCATACTCTCTATGATTTAGTTCCTTTTCTCTATCTTCTGTCCCTTAAAGTTTCTAGGAGGATCTACTATGATAGTAAATATTGCAGAGCTTTACAAGGTTTCAAATGCCACACAGCGCCCAGTGTTATTATTTGTCAACCATCAACTTTTTATGTCTAGAACACAAGAATAAGATGTATACTGCATTGAAGAAGATGAGAGAAAGAACTGTTTAAAGGGGATATATGATTAGATATTAATGTTATGACAAGAGTTTAGAATGAAGGTAGCATCGTGGAGTGGACTGGGGGTGAGAAATTGAATAACAATGAAAAAATTTTTTCTATTACTTTTCAAAAAGAAAAGTGAATGGTGGGAGAGAGCAGGGAGAAAAGTGCAACAATGAATGAATGGAAATCCAGTCTCTGTAAACCTTCATTAAAATCAATTCAAAATTTAAAAAAAAGAAACCTCAACCCTCTTCCTTCCTTCTGCCTCAGCATACTTACAAACCTTTGTGATCACCTGATCACTAAGTGTCATCTCTAAATTTCATCAGAAAATCGTGTTCCACAATCATTATATAAATATGTCATCAACCACTGAAATACTTTTTTTCTTTCCTGAAGGTCTTTGCACTACTATAATTAGGGATGTGTGACCGACTGAAGTAAGGAGAATACAGCCTCAGAAGCATCTTTTGTTCCTAAAAGAGTGTTGAAGTGTTGAAGTTTGATTGCCTTTACACTGAGAACCTGTCCCTCTTCCTTAGCGAGTTGTTGTATTAATCATTCTACTTTGGGGGCTGTTGTGTTTTTCTTTCTTAAGATGAGTCTGAACTGCTGGAGAACCTGCCAACCACCATGCAGTTAGCCCTCGCTGTGGACATGAACTTCACCATCATCAGCAAAGTCGACTTGTTCAAGGCAAGTGCTTTTTTTTTTACATATCACAAAAATACAGCCATATCCAATTCTCTGTGGGCTCTTAGCTCTTGTTTTATGCAGCACTTAGGATTTCCTTTTCTTTGCAGAAAGTTTAAACAAAATCAAATAACCTGGAGAATGTATGCGATATTAAAGAGTCAAATAAATTGCGAGTCTCTTTTCAGCAGAAGACATATTCTTCAGTAGCCTCTCTCTCCTAATTGGTGTCAAAGAAGAAGAGTTCTTCAGACTCTTCTTGCATTAATTTAAATATAATTAAACTCTACAGCTCTATGTCTTTGTTAGTATGCGTGTCATCTCCCATTTATGAATGTGCCTCGGCAATACATGCCAAATCAGGCCCCAGATTAGCCTGACAATCAGAAAATCGTGCCTAATTATGTTTCCTATTACAAATGCTTTGGATTTAGACTTCTAAGACGGTCGTGTTTAAATTAAGAAACCTTTTCTTTTCAGAGAAAAAAAATGCATTAATTTTTTAACTCTAGAATCTGTTTGATTTTACTAACATTTTCTTTATGCATTACAGTAGAGGTAAAATTTTTTCACCTAAAATTTAATTCTGTGCATCACCTTCAAGTATGTACACTATCCAAGTAATCAATCCAACATATATGTACTTATTTATTAAGTTTCTACTATGCTATATGCACCATTTTCATTATTGAGAATGCAATTCCTTAAAAAAGGTTTATGTTCTATGAGTTTTGATGTTCTGTGAACCATTTTCACCACTGAGAATGCAACAGTTGTGGAAAACAACTTGGATACACAGAACTCAAATTCCAGAAATGGAGAATAAAAGCCAACATACTGTGCAAAGGTAATAGTGCCGTGAACAAAATCAAGAATGTTGAGGTGAAATTAATATCCCTACAGGCATAAACTAGGCAGCTTGCCTGGCCTTGTAGGTAAAGAATTGCACTGCCAACCCAAAGGCATATGGTCCAAAATCCACCAACCACTTGACAAGAGAAAGAGGGACAAGCTCCTCCTGTGTGATTTAGAGCTTGTGAAAACCTACTAAAGAGTAAACTATCACTCAGTTCCAACTCAATCATATGTAACAACATGATAAACCGTTTACATTTGACTGCAACCTATTGCTTTACAGTTTAAAGTTAATCAGCAGCGTCACGTGAGACAGGTCTGGCTATCTGCTTCCATTAAGATTCTATTCCACAATATATTAGTCATAAACGGATCAACAGTAACTAGCCACAGAGGAAGGAGGGTGGTACTAATCATAAAAGAGCCCTGTGATGCAGTACATTTGAGCAGAAGACTCAAGAAGTGATGGAGTTAGCCATTTAGATGGAAGGCAGTAGAGAATGTTCTAGATGGATGAACACACTGAAGCCCTGAGCTATAGGAACACACTGCAAAAAGGGTAGAGGGACTGGAGAAGAGATAGAGGGAAGTACAATCGGGTGGGTGAAAGGAGGGTGACCTGGATGGTGGACCTTGAAAACTGTGCTTGTTCCTGGACCACAAAACCAACTGAAGATCTAGAACAGATGATAATATAGTCAAAATCAACTTGAAAAGGATCTTTCTTACTTCATAAGAAGGCTTGCTGGCATATGTAAATTTTCAGGCTGCTAATCCAAAAATGGGAAGTTCTAATCCACTAACCACTCTGCAAGATGGACAATCCCCTCCTGTAAAGATTTACAACCCCAGAATCCAGTGGGTGATATCAGGAAACAGAACCCGCTCAAGATCATTGGATAGGTCAGGCTGGATGAAGAGCAGACCTCAGGAAGTAAGTGTGAGGCCAAATGCTATTTATTCTAACAGACTGAAAAAAAGACAGTGGTGCCTGAACTCAGAAGAATTGCAGTAGAATTGTTGAAAAGTGGCCAAATAGTGAAAATATTAAAAGGAGAGCCCCCAGCTTTTGCTGTTTGAGAAAATGGAGGATGAAACAGAGAGTTGAGAAGGCCTCAAGAATTTAGGCTTGGGTTTCAGAAGAAATAATGATATCATTTGCAAGATGAGCACAATTAGAGTAAGTGTAGACTGAAAGGCATAGAAACAAATCCTTGATTTTGGATATGTTAGCTAGAAGTGGACGTTATTAGTCTTACAGATGGCAGCGTTATGTGGACAATGTAATCTATCAATCTGAGTTCAGGAGCAATGTCCAAGCTAGAGATATAAATCTGTACTAGCAGTTTATGCTATGGAACTGAATATAATCTCCTAGGACCTAAGTACGAAGAAAACAGGAGATATAAACCAAGTTGAAATGTATGCATTAAAAAATACAGCTTCAGTAGTCTTGTGGACAAGAAGCAGAAGCTGAGTGATAGAATGGTTAGACAAAATCAGCGTCCCGGAGCAATTGTTTTGTAAATTACTACCTAATTTGGGAGGGACTCGAGAGCCTTATGCCAAGTAAACTAACTCAGTCCCATAAGGATAAATACTGTACAAAACCATTATTGTCGAATGAGTATAAGGATCGGGGGAGGGAGGAGCAGAGGGATGAGCATGGGGGTGTTTAATCATAGGGTCGCACAATTTGGAGAAGGGGGGGAACTGAAGGAAATGTGAAAGACCTGGTATGAAAAAGAATGTATGCAAACTTTGTAAATAAACCAGTATAATTTTTTTAAAAAAGATCATTCCAGATGTTAACCAGAGATATCATGGAACACGTCAGATGAGTATCCTAAGACTCTTTTATCATTATAGCCTCTTCTAGATGTCCATCAGGATTTTGACGAGGATATAAGAACTGATTTTAAAAAATACTGAAAAACCTAGCAGGTGATACACAGCAAAAAGAATAGTTACTTGTTAAATTCAAAAATTACTTTTATGGAATTATATCTGGTTTGGGATGCTACCAGTTTTCAGTCTCATAGTGGGGGGTTTTCCCCTTACTTTTATATATGTATATATATATTTAAATTCTTAAAATAAACAACATTTGATTGAAGGGGGAGAAAGATTAAATCTTCGCATCTTACTAAAATTGTATATTAAGTTCAGATTCATTCTTTCTTGACATTTTTTCCATTAAAGATACAGTGTCTTCCAGAAAGAACCATTTCCATTTATATTTCTGTTACATGAAAAAGTGATTTTTTTTTTCTGCTAAAGCCAAGTGAAGTAGAAAATAAGTAGGTAAGGAATGTTTCAAAATTTATTTTTATGGATACAGTCTTAGTAGTTTACAGAAATTTGTGATTTCTTTAAGGAGGAACCGGCTTGAATTGCGTTCTTAAACCTGTATCTCATAAATTATACTCAATTGATCTTTCTGCAAGGAGTCCTTGCAGGGCAGTGCATTAAAGGTTGGGCTGCTAACCAACATTTGGCAGCTCAAATCCGCCAGCTTCTCTGAGGTTAGAGAGAGGACAGTCTTTCCCCATCTTTTTTTCCATCATTTTTCTTTATCTTGTGGACAAGATAAAGAAGCAGAAGCTGAGTGATAGAATGGTTAGACAAAATCATTCCTGATATACTAAGAAACATTCCGGAGTAATGATTTTGTAAATTACTACCTAACTTGGAAGGGACTGGAGATCCTTATGCTAAGTGAACTAACTCAGTCCCATAAGGACAAATACTGTAGAAGACCATTATTGTAGAATGAGTTTGAGGATCCAAGGAGGGTAGCATAGGGGAAAGGATGGGGATGGGAGTTAATCATAGGGTCACACAATTTGATAAAATGAAACCTGATGAAGGGTTGTTATCATTAAAACCTATATAACTTTATAGATTTGGTTTCGTTTGGAGATCTTTACATGGCTTCTAAGTCAAGTCCACTAACAGTCACTCTCTACCCAAGAAAGTTGGGTGGGAACATGCAAAAGAGATAAAAGTTTAGGTATGTGCTCCCAGCAGAATCCCCATGGTTTGTCTGGGGTCAAATTCTCTCCTCTACAGACACCAAAGTGTTAACTCATAGTACCTGTGAATGTGAACTTATTCAGAAACAGGGACTTGGAAGATGTGATTTGTAAATGTGAGATGAGGTCCATGATCCAATATGGCGTGTGTCCTTATTAAAAGAGGAGCAAAGACAAAGACACAGATGCAGACTTGCCTTGTGAAGGCAGAAGCAGACATTGGAGTTAGGCTGCCGTAAGCTAAGGAAGGCCTGCAGTCAGCAAATGCTACAGGACAGAGATCTACGCAGAGCAGGGCCCTGTCGACACACTGAATTCAGACTTCCAGCCTCCAGAACCATAAGAATACGTTTCAGTTGTTTTAATCCACCCAGTTTATAACACTTTGTTAACAGCATCCCTAGGAAACACAGAGGAGTCTACAAAGTAGAGATGGTTAGACAGAAGTTCCCAGATGTGGGAGCGCGTAGCCTTTCTTGCAGAATGAAAAGAGATACCTTAGACCAGAGCAAAATGATAATGGAAAAGATGACGAAAAATATAGCCGTTGCCATCAGGTTGATTCCAATTCAGCAATCCCTATGCGTCCAGTGGGACCGTGTTCCATGCATTTCCAAGGCTGGGACCTTTTTGAAAGCAGATCACTGGGTCTTTCCAACTTCTTACTTAGCAGGCAAATGCATTAACCATTTGCACTAACCATGAGTTCCCAGAGTTGAACCTAGAAAGGTGGACTAAAGCTGTGAAATGTGGGCTCAGTGCTATCGACAAAGAAAGCCATGAAAGGAGACTTCAGTGACATGAGTGATTTGAGTCTTACAAATGCAAACCTGGTGCTATGATGATCAGCACATGGACACAGATGTCAGTGTCCAAAATGACAAACAAGGGTGGCTGCCCATTGCTGAAGGCCACCATATCTTCATGTGTGTATTCATGTGTGTACCTATACCACAAACTTACTGTTTGAAACATTGTTCAGTGGACAACTCTGGCGCCAAATGCACTCAACGTGTCGTGCAGCCATCACCAGCACTCCCTCTACAAGGAAAATCCTGTATCTCTAGTCCTCCCTGAAAATAAACCTTCCCTATCTTTAAGTGTCAGACAAGC